GGAAACTGTATTTTTAACTAGCTTAATATATCATTAATTCACCATTACACAAATCTCTATATCCTGTTATTCTCTTGAAAATAGGTTCTGACCTAGATGCATAAAATTTAGAGCAACCATTCTGAGGCATTCCAGTTGAATTTTCAGAGCTGAAAATTCCAAAAAGAGATTGGACAATTTTTAATGGGCAACTTTTAAACGTTTTTCTTTTTGTTCTATTGTTCACAATTGCAACATCAACCTGAGGACTGTGAATTACAGAACTGACAACGTTTCAGCAGCTTCTTCATTCACAGTTCCTGAAGGTCCCAGATCCATTTAGATTGGTAGGAACATACAGACAACAGGCACTGGCACAGGTGAACACCTCTCCATGTGTTCTCAATTCAGCACTTGGAAGCCATGCAGCTGTTTTAGATTGATGCCATTCCCAGAGTCCCAGCTTTGCTTGGGTGCTCAGGTGTTCCTGGCACTCCCAGCTGGGCAGACTCCTCATACAAAGCACAATTGGAACTCGACCTCAGAGCTGTGTTTGTTAAATGCCATCAGTGCTGCCCCTTCTGCTGGACTCACAAAGGTCACTCTGTGCCCAGCACATCATGAAGAACATACTGCTCCAACAGCTGGGTTACTACACAGGGAAACTGATCTACACTACACCATGGTTAATCACCATGAGCCCTGCCATGGTGTGGGCTTCACCACAGTGAAGCCCAGTGAAGGCAATTTCCTCTGGGTACACTCACCTTGTGCATGCTCACAAAAACATGACAGGTGGGCAGGTATGAGAGAGACAGAAAATGCCATCCTGTGCACAGTTTTGTCACTGTTTTTCTCTGCTTCTTTACCAGAGTGGCCAGGCTTATTACATCCATGATGGTGAAAATGTCATCTTCTCTGAGTGGATTGTGCCTTTGGTAGGTACTGCACAGCCCTGCAGCTCCCAGCACCGTGTGGGCACAAGTCCTGTCACTGACTGACACACCAGACCAAGTAAATCAAGTTCAGTGCACAGAAATTACTGAATTACTTAACATGAAACTCAGTCTGTTTTCCCTGCATATCCCAAAGTTCCACTGGTGTTAAGAGCTCTTAAGTTTTGGATATGTGTAACGGTGGAGTTTGGCCTTATTGTTTTGAGAGGATTTAGCTGGGAGTCCAGAACTTGCTGCAGGACAGAGCACTTCATGAAGGAAACCCACAGTGCATGGCCAGCTCTGCCACTGGCATCTGGCAGGACTCTTACAGCCCCTGCTTATCCCTTTGTCCTGGCATCAGCTGCAGCACAGAGGGGAAGCCCAGTCAGAATCTTAGAAGCTGAAAAGGGACAACACTGTATTTTCAGAAATATCGGGCTGGGATTCTAGGAGAATGCCAAAGCTTTTGCCAGCACAGGAAATGACTGCAGAAAATATGGCCTGTATTGAACTGTAGTTCAGTATTCCAGTCTGGGTCACTTCCCCCTTGGAAATGGCCTTTTGCTCCCCTTTACTGTCCAATTGCAGATGAAGGGTGGAAGGTGGGCACCAAAGAATGAGTAGTGGGCTTCAATTACATTTCTTACTACCTGTATGGACAGGAAGACGAGCTGGAAAAAAAAAAGTTTAGATACAAGTCTTATCAACATTCTTTTTTTTTTTATGTATGTCTCATTGACATGTTGAACTTTGTATAAGTTCTCTGTTATTCTTTCTTTTTATACCCTTTTTAGTTTGAAAAATTAGGCTACAGGAAACCTTGGATACATATACCTGTTCTCCTGGCTCATATAGCAGGTAAAAAAAATAAAATACATTCTTAATTATTGTGGGTTGTTTGATTTTTTTTTTTTATTCCTATGAAGCTACATAGTGGTTTTGTAAAATTCAGGGACCCAAACTGCAGGAATTTTTTTAATTAACATTATTTTAATTGAGAATAATCACTTGTGCCATGTGATTAATTATAGCAGATAAAGTTTAAAGGCTATTCATAAACTCATCATGTACTTTATAAATTAAACAGTGCCTTCTGCCAGTAGGAATTACAGGATGTATAATCTCAGCATTGTCTCAGTTTATTGTTAACCAGATGTCTCATTAAGTAATTTTTGTTTCACAGCCACTGTGATGGAATATTTGCACCTGATACTAAAGCCAGTTTTTAGCTTTACACCTTTCTTGACAAGGAATGAGGTAAATATATTAAAAAAAGATAATGTTTATATATTTCTGACTCAAATTCTCATTAAGGACACGATACGCCCTTTGGATTGTCTGTATTGCAGCTCTGTTTTGTGTTTTCATTGTAATATCATTGTTGATATATTTTCATCCAAGTTCCAGAAAATTGGATATTAAAGTCACTACCATAAGTGTCCTTTTGGCTTTTAGGTGTGGAATGTCACTGTAACTCACACTTTCCGAATAGACAAGGCACGAAATCAACTCGGTTACAAACCAAAGAAATTCTCATTCGCTGATTCCGTGGATCATTACCTAAAAACAAGACCTACCTGCCAAGAAGATCACACGTTCATTAAAATGGTGTTTGGTTTTGGCATTTTGTTAGGTTTGATCATTCTTTCTTTCTTCTAAAACCAAATAACCACTCACCTGTTCCAGAAAGCTTAATTTTGTTTCTGAGTATTAATTATCTGGTCATAGTACATTCCTCAGCCACTCTGGACTTTGTTATTCATATTACTATGATGACACTTCTCTGACCTCATTAAGAAAGAAAAACACCCAAACAAAAAACAACTAGAAAAGTGAAAACATAGGATGTATCAGGAAATGTTCTCCAAGAGCAACACAGTGTTATAGCAAAGGAGGTCACCACAAATGGGTGCAGGAATAGTTTTAATGGCTCTTCATTAAGTGATGTTTCATGCTGGGAAGCATTTTCTAAAAATGATAATTCAGAGGGTGAGGAGGTGGAAGAAGAGGAACTGTCACAGGACAACAGTGCTGTAACAAGTCCAGTAGCTCCAGTGAAGAAAAGGGTGACTAAACAACTCTTCTGATGAAGCCACGGCTACAGCTACTGTCAGCCTGAGGAATTACGGAGATCTGGGAAACAGTGGAAAAATATGGAAAGTAAATATTTATAAATAGTAGGTGATTAGAGGAGTGAAAATCATATTTATGTAAAATAGTTGTATTGTTCTGAAGCTTTGTAAAAATGTAATAAATATCATTATGTGTGTTTGTAAATCAAATAATATCATTTCAATGCAATAATAAATAATAACTGAACCAAATAACTGAACCTCCTGTTTTTAAGGAGCTTGTGGGAAGGAGGAGTTCAGCCAGCTGTTACTGATCTCTGGAGTCACCTTCTCCACAACCCTGTAGCACTGCTGGCACACGTTGTGTGTTCAGGGAATTGCATTTTGGGGTAAGCAGAGAAGCCAAGCACCAAGACAGGAGTGAGAATCCAAGCTCTCTCTTTTCCCCTTTCTTAAGTCTCACATCAGTTGCTTGTTGGGTGGATTGCACCATGTGAGCCACCTGTGCTACATGTACAGCCCAGACCAACCTTAAAGATGTTAGGAGTTTTTCCTTGGGATCCAGCTTTGCTCTGACCAGGGAGCAGCTGCTCCCTCTCCTGCACCCCACGTGAATCAGGAGAGCTGGACTGGCCACAGTGGGTCATGGAAGACAACGATGGAACAGCTCTGCCATCTGATTATCTCCTCTCTGTATTCATTTTGCCTTTTCTTAGCATTTTACAGGATTTTTAAGAACAGTAAGTTTATAGAGATTCTCTCACTCTAAATCTATAGGGATATGCAGGAGAACCAACAGCAATGCTAGAAGAATAAAGGTTACATGTAAAAGACAATACACAGTGACACAGGAAAATGTGTGAGCAAGCACAATTACCACTGCAGCTTGTGTAAGCAAAGATTTGTTTTACTCTGTTTTTTGGTTTTTTTCTCTTCACTAAACAAATAGTTCTATGTGCAGTGAAAGCAGTAGAGTTGGATTGATTATAGATTTGTCCTTGTCCATACAAATTGAGCTCCCACTGTACATCTTCCTTTAGCAGGGGCACTGCTCAGCCCTGTCTCCTATTCCTGGCAATTGACAGGAAGCTTAAAGAAGCTCTGTATATATGAGACCTTTATCCAGGTTTGATTAAAAGCAGTTAAATTCAAAATTTATCACTACAGAGCTGCAGCTGAGCCAGTAAGTGCTGCAGGCAGGCAGTACCATGTAAGCCTTTACTCCCTAGAAATGCAGAATAGAAAACCACAGGTGTAAAGTTACTTCCCAGTGACAGCATTTTAGCTGCATGCAAACATTCAATTTGCTTCTAAATTAGTTATTTATAAATCTTTCATATCACTTTTCCTGGACTAATAGCTCAGGATGCATCCTGGATTACACCAACACTTTTCACAGGAGTGCAGGCTCTGACCTTGCTTGGATGCTCCTCAGTAAGGACTAACCAAGGAATTCACTGGCTTTGTGCTTGTAAGTCCCCATGGAGTCCCATCATTTCAGTTCTGTAACACCAAACCTGTGGTTTGTTGTTTTGGGTAGGATGCTTTTTACATCACTGTTATAACAGCACTGATTAACAATAATTGCCTTAAGTACATTTATTTATCTTTCTTACAGATGCAGTCTTTGAGATTTTAAAACAATCCTCAGTACCAGTTGGGAATAGCCAGCTCTCTTATTTCTTTGGGTCTTTACTGAGTCTCAGTTTAAGCTGGCTCTTGTTTGAGTTACTCCTGCTCCAACATAACTGCAATGTGTCTTTAAGTGATTAAAATTTAATATGAACATTCAGACATAGTACAGCTGTAACAAAAGAGGTAAACGTGTTCAAAGCTTAACTTTTGCCTGGAATGGGTAACTGGAATTCTGCAGCTCCTGACCCTTTTCACACCCTCCCTGGCTCAAATGACCACAGGGAGGCTCAGGTGGAAAGGGACCTTAGTGCATAATTGCTTATTAGTGCCTGTTTGGGAACTCCTGCTGTTTTGCAGGTGTCTCAGAAGTTCTGCATCTCTATGAGCCATGTCCTGCCACCGACTGTCCAACCAGCAGGCAGGAGGTGGTGTTTTTTTCCTGAACAACCTGTTCAACGGGTACCTCAGTGTGACCGGAGCCCTCACTACTGCACAGTCACATCTGTGTGAAGACACTCGGAGGTAAGAACCACCGCAAGATGCTCTGGATCCCAGGGATGCTCCGGCAACCCAGGAATACCGTGCCATGCCGTAGGATCCCCAGGATGCTGTGGGCTACATGGATGCTGTGTGATGAGCAGAATCCCAGGAAAGCTGTGCCATCCCAAAGCTGCTGCCAGATGAGTGGGACCCCGGGGTTCTGTGGGAGCCGGGGGATGCGGTGGGATACCAGCGAGGCTGCGGGATGAGAGGGGAGCTGCGGGACCCGCTGCGGAGGCTGGCGGGGGCCCGGCCCAGCACGAGGCCCCGCTGCCCCCGGCCGATCTGCAGGCGACATGCAGAGAGCCCCGGCGGGGCTCGGGTGGCTTTGAATGTTTAATTGCGGCCGGGGCAGGGACCGGGTGTCGGAGGGAGTCCGTAGCCACGGCCTCTGAAATGTCCTGACTGCCGGTGAGGAACCCCTAGAAGGGCAAGAACCCCCATGTTCAGAAAATAAGTCATTCGCTATTACTTTTTTCTTGATGTAGTTGTTGACCCTTTCTATAGTATAGCAGCTATTTTATTCAAGTTCCCCTCGAAAGCAAGGGATTTGATAGCCTTGTTCTCTGATACACCTTCTAAAGTTATAAGGATCAGGCGTCCCTCTTCCCTCCTGACATCCTCATCTACCTCAACTCCAGCACTGCCAATGATAACAACTCAGTGTATTCTTAATTTATGTTTAGCTGCTGGTACTTAGAAAGAAGCTGGAAATACAACTTCTCTCAGATGTCTGTCTTGGCAGTAAACTGGGTACTGTAAATTTTGCGTTGCTTTTGTCTTTATCTCTCTTAGGCAGGCTGCATTAAAGCCAGATTTTGCTGCTGTGACTAGATCTTGTCAATATGAAACTCCCTGAAATTGTCTGCGTCCAGGAGTGTTATGGAGCAATTTTCTCCGTGTAGAAGGAATTGTTACCTGTATCTGGTAGTGCCGGACAGTATTTCATGGACACAAAACCAAAAATGAGTGGAGTAACATCACCCTATCAGCGAAACCCTGACTGCAAACGGAGCAAACATGCTGGAACACTCAATAAAATCAGTATGAGAGCCGTGGTGACAGGAGGTGGTGGCTATTGTGGATACAAGCTGGGATGTGCTCTTGCCAGCATAGGAGCTTCTGTTGTTCTGTGTGACATACACAAGCCTTTGTGGGTGATTCCCAGTGGAGTGGTGTGGATCGAGGTATGATAAATAATATCTTCCCAACAGTCAAAGTTACTTCATTTGCCTTTTCCATAATGTCTTCCTAGTTTTCACAGAATCCAAATAGCTATTGCCAACTATTTCAAATTTCAGTAATCTTTTTAACTGTGTGAACATCCCACATGAGTTTTGGTGAATGGATTTTAGTATATCTGAAATAAGGAAACCAGCAAAACCTGTAATGCATGGAGCAGTTTCACTCCTGACTCCTCAGGATCCTGCCTTCATCTAGGCCTTAGTTTAACCACCTGTAGAATAAACACAGGACTATAGTGAACCTTAATGAATGTCTTTAAAGTTCGTTGGGTTCTATGGAAGAAAAATATAATTATCAGCAAGCAGGGAGGTGTGCCCAGTTTTGAGTCCCAGGATACTTGTACAGCAAGTACAGTTCTATATATGCATTCTGTATATGGATTCCCTCTGTGCTAACCCACTGTATGACAAATGCTCACCTGCAGCTTTGATCTCATGTCCAAATATTTGTTCTTGTGCATTACAGACAGATATCAGGGATTACCGTGCCATACTGTCAGTCTGTGAAGGGGCTGACTGTGTGTTTCACGTAGCTTCATATGGAATGTCAGGAACACAGCAGGTGAGTCCACATAGTTTTGGTTTTGTTCTGTGTGACTGCCCTCATGGAGGGTGAGAGACTTTGATGCTGTAACACTGCATGACAGATTTAATTTCTTCATATTGCCCCAGTTTCTGGTAAATTGCTCTGTGCCAGTTTGAGTGCCAGCTGCAAGCAGGCTGCTCGCAGTGATTTCCTCTCCATTAGAGGTTCCACCAGCACCCTGGGAAGGTGTTTGAGATGGAAATGGCATTGAAAAGTTCTGAAATACTGTGAAAACAAAATTAAGGACAAGGGAGGCTGGTTTCCTCCAAAACCCTGATTCTTCCCTAAACCTTCACATGGATCTCCTAGGTGTAAGGTCACTAGAAGGAATAAAACCTTAACTAAATTATAAATTACTTCATATATCTGAATTATAACAATATTTGAAGTCTTTAATTGTTCACCGTTGGGTAAAAAGCTGTACAGATGTACTTGATGTAGGACTCTGAGTCACAGTTTTATAATTACAGTTACAAGCACACACACACACACATCCACACACAAACACACCCCTTTCTTACTTTCTTTAATAAGAGGAACTTCAGTAATCACCCTGTCTGGATAGAACAGCTCACTCAAAAGTTGTTTGCCACTGAGCAATGCATAATTGGAATTGCTCTGGTTAGAGGCAACTGGTCACTAAAGTGCTACTGAAACACAGATATTTAACATACTGCTGCAAGATATGTAATAACTGGACATATATTTTTAGAAGCACTACAATTTTCTTCGCTTCAAGCAGACTAGTCTTTAATAATACAAGAAAAATACAGGTATAGTTTAAAAATAATGATTAGACTTCTTTAAGTCTGAAACAGCAGTCTAAATGACATTTTTAATAATCAAAGCACTAAATTATGTTTATTTGGGGATGTTTATAACATCCCCCTATTGAATTGAGTATGTATTATTACTATAAAATGCACAATATTTTTCTTTTCCTAGTTGCATAAAAAAGAGATTGAAACTGTAAACATTAATGGAACAAGATTCATCCTTAATGGTATGTATTTAACTGTGCCACTGGGTGTTAGTACAGCATATCAAACATCATATCCAGTTTAGAGAAAGCCAGTTGGCCTTTTTGGCACACTCTGTCTGTCACCAAGTACTTTACATTGCTGGCAGAAAATGAGGAAACATGTCACGGGGTGGGGGGGGTCATGCTCAGTTCTGCTACGAGGTGTGATATGAGAGCCAGCACTACTTCACCTACTTCAGCTGTTCAACACCTTGCTGGACTGATGTCCCATGTAAGGAGTTAACCAATTCCCTGTGTATTTTGTAGTAGTTAACCTGCTTGCTAACAGCTTGTGTACAGGCAGTGAGCAGCCCTGGAGGCAGAAGGACTTCTGTCCTGATGCCAGCAGGCTGGAGGAGCTCTCCTGAGGCACGTGCTGGCACCAGCTTAGGAAGTGCCAGCATGTAAAGCACTGATGCCTTCCCTTTGAATATGCTCTGCATTTCAACTCACCCAGTCACAGAATGGAAGGATTTTCTCTTAAGATTTGACACTTAGAAAAAATGGCACACTAACTTTTTTTTCCCCAAATAATTTTCCACTAAAGTAATTGATTATTCATTGCTGCAGCCTGCAAACAAAAGAACATCCCTCGGCTGGTCTACACCAGCTCAGTGAATGTGGTGTTTGGGGGGCTTCCCATTGAAGACGGGGATGAGGAATCTCTGCCGTATTTCCCAATTGACAAGGTATTTCATTGTATTCTATTCTTAAATTTCTCTGTTTGCTTCCATGTTTCTGAAAAAGCCTGGAGTTTTTATGACAGAGTTTTGCCTGATGCAAGCATCCAGTCACGAGAAAGGCCAGGTGGAATGAGAATTTTAGCAACTTGGTCTAGTGGGAGGTGTCCCTGCCCATGGAAGAGGGGATCAGAACAAGATGATCACTGAAATCCCCTTCAACCCAAATCATTGTCATTCTATGAAAGAAAACTCTTTACACTGTTTGAAGATGCTATTTACAACCTTGGCACATAAGTTTTATGTACATCAAAGTATATATTTCTTTGTTTTCCTATTAAGGCCTTGATTTTGGAAAATAACTCCCACAGTGCCGTATTAACATCAGGGCTATTCCACCTGGACATGAGGATTCTGTTACATGGCTTGGTGCCTCTTTAGCTATTTATTATCCACATGATTTTCCTGGTTTTCCCTTAGAGGATGACATATATTCAAGGTAGAGCTGATCTGGAAAAGCAGATTTTTATATTTTTATTATGGTTTTATTGCATTTAATTAAAAAGAGAAACTACTTCTGGCTGCTTTGCATACGAAGTTGTTTTTTGTGTCCCTCCTCTCTCCATCAAGTACTTCATAATCTTTCAAGAAGTAGAGATGGAGATAAAATATGAATATTTTTAATAACATTTTAAATAACACTTTTTCTGGGACAATGCCCCATGGAAGTGAGCAGGATACTTCAGACCAAGTGTAATGACTTCAAAACTTGGCTTTTGACTTTTCCGTTACCTGAAGAAGAAATCCAGATTACAAAGCAGTGATCAATTACATTCCTGGCAGCATTCAAAACATACATATATTTATTGCTTCTCAAATGTGCTGAAATTAATTAACCACATTTGCATATACAAAAATGCTTCCTTACCCTAGAAATATTCATGTGTTTTACCCCGAACCTAATTCCCCACAACTTCTGTACTTTGAGGCATTTGTTGCCATCTGCTAAGTGAAAACCAGTGAAGAAGAGATGCCTCTCTGTCCCATCATTTCAGAACAGATACAAATGTATTTGCTTTTTCTCTGTAGCTCGTTGATCACTACTCCAGAACCAAATCGATTGCAGAACAAATGGTACTGGCAGCTAATGGATCTTCACTAGAAGGTACTTTTGTCTGAGCATGAATTCATAGGTGAATTTACTCCTCTTCCTCTTGCTCCTCCCCAAAATCCTGTGTCCTCTATCAATCCTTAGTGGACATGATTGCTCAGAAGTTATGAAATTAAGTTACTAACTTCTCACAAATTAAAGTGTTTTAATTTAAAAATTATTTTAAATTGGTTTTAAGTTCCCACAATGTCTGTAAAAGGTTTTAGCATGGTAGCAGTAAGTTCAATGTGTCAATGCAAAGTAATAAGACAGCTATAAATTAAACAAAAACAAGTGTTTAATGTCACTGTCTCATGCAATATAAGCAAAACACAAATGCTGATTAAATTGTTACATCCACATACCCCCTCAAGTTATATATTAAAATCTGAAGTAGGTACCTGAGCCTAGGGCCTGGAATTATTTATTAGTGGTTCCCGAAGTTTTCCATGTTGAGGAAGCCAGTTATACACTTGAATACTTAAGCTCACCTGTGAGATACTATAACTGCCAGTGCAAAACAAATTAATGTAAAGTGCAACATGATTCTATGTGACCAAGTGATACTGAGCTAAATTTAGCTGTGGACAACTTAGAGAAAAGACTCTTCACTTGATACTTGCAGAGGGTTATAACAGATGGAAAGTCCACGATGGGAGCTCCATCCCAACAAAATTATTTTGTTCAAAATAAGAAAAGGTGTTTTTTTCCCTTCTATTTCCTTAGCAGCTCTTCACATCAAAGCCTCTCCTAATTACAGGACCAATACAGAGTGAAATTTGTCAGTGAAATAGAACCAAACATCCATTTTGATTCTGTGCCGTAGCAGGACTGATATTTTATATGTTTACAAGTACTGTTAAGAACAGTTATTAGCAGATGATGAAACAGCCAACTGATGTACATGGGAGGATTTGATTATTATGATCCCACTGAAATTGTCAAGAGCTTCTACCTCACTCCAGTGGGAGCTGCCCCTGCTGCTGAGGGAATCTTTCAGCTCTACCTTGTACTGCTAACAGGTCACTGCTTCCCATCTGTAATTTTGTATGGCATTAGTTGGTTTCATTCCACTATCCAATATATTTTTGAACAACCTGCTCACTTCAGTGAACTCATCACCACAGCCAACACATTCACTGGCACAGGGACAAGGGACTGATTAGAAAGAGATTTTTAAATATCTGGTATTTTCTAGGAACACAATTATGCTTTCAGGACTTCTCTGAATCTTTTCTTGCTATTTTGCATGCTCTGATTCTCCCATCTTATTATCCAACTACTAATGCAGCACCTTTTGGTATGTATTGTTTTTTAAGGTAGTGAAATGAATTTAGAGTAAGTTCTGCTGCCTCAGCCTTTGGTTCATACAAACAAAGATCCAGTGTGGTGATGTGAAGGTCTCTTAAGAATGATCTTTTCCCATGTTCTAGGAGGTGGAACACTCCACACGTGTGTCCTTCGCCCACCAGGGATCTATGGACCAGAGGAGCAGAGGCACTTGCCAAGGCTAGCAGTATGTCATCTGAATTTTTTAACCAGCAGTTTTCTATGATATGTTTAAAAAGCTGAAAGGAGCATCACTTATTTGTATTATAAATTGACTGATCTTATTGGGTAGCAATTCAACAATTCAATCATCTGCTGAGGATATTATAACTTTTTTTAACAAGCATTATATCTGTAAAGTGTGGATTTTAAAAGCCTTTTTTAAAAATTAAATACAAACACATGAAAATCCAGCTTTATAATTTAATGATTACTCTAAGATTCAGGCCAGTCCATGATATTTCAAATGTCTGTTTACATGCAACTTACACCAAATGGTATTAAATATTAATGAAAAGAGATACAGTAAAATATCTTATTTCCAGTGTCAACTATTAACAGCTTCCACTGTCCAATGAAGCAGGTCCCAGAGCTGCAAGCACCCTTTGGGACACCAGGTTACTGAAGGGCAGCAGCTGAGCTGTTCACATTTTACTCTTTTTCACTTGCTTTTAAACTGCAGGGCCAACAGATGACCTTTAGAACATGGTCCCTGTAGAATTCTGTGGGCCAGTTATTTTAAAAGAATTAGTGTAATATAAAGTTATACACAGCTTTCAGGAAATAATAGATTCAAGTTGAGCACATAATAGATATTTTTGGTTTGTGGCTGAGGTAGGAAATGATATTGCAGTCAGCCAAATTATATATTATCATCTTGTAAATAATTTTAAGAATAGAAAATGTCATTTTAGTTAAATCTGAGATTTTATTTTAGCCCCTTTAAAATATAATATTTTAAAATTTCTATTTGATTTTGAGCTTCATTTTTGGAGCCAATTTTAAGGCATTATGCAAATATCATGTTTTGCAGTTTCTAAAATTTACCTGTTCAATGAAAACTGGGATGCTTTCCTTCCAGCCAAAGTATATCTTCCAGTTTTTCCTAGCCAAAGCTATTTGATAAATTTGATCCAATTTAGTGAACACTTTTGATCCACTCAGAGCTGTAACTTACCTTTCCATACAATATTTTACTTATCCCTAGAGCAGACTTGTATTTTTTGTAAATTCAGGACATATTGCAATACATCTTTTGACATTTTCCCAAGAGCAGTTCCCTTGAATATTTTTAATTGATTCGTGTATTTCCCTTTTTTTTTTTTTTAAGTAGAGCTAAACCTACATTTAGCTGGACAAGAAAATACACTTCACCTCATTCTAAAACTCATTTTGTTTTGATTTCATGTTTGTTTATATCTACAGAAAATTATTGAGAGAAGGCTGCTTAGCTTCAAGTTTGGGGACCCTAGTGTTCAAATGAACTGGATACATGTAGAGAATTTTGTACAAGCTCATATTCTAGCTGCTGAAGCTCTCACCCCTGCAAAGAACTACATAGCTGTAAGTACACAGTAAAACCACCACAGGTCTCACTTGACAGTGGATCTGCCACTGTATCCTGTGCTACAGTAAGCACTGCAGTAATTAGAGTTATTGTCCTTCAGCTGATGTTGTTGTCTGTTGCTGTTGGTTAAGAGATGGAATATTCAGTTCTGGAAGAATGTCTCCATCTTTGCATTTTTAAAATGCAAAATTTATAATTTCTGGAAGATGAGCAAAGAATGTTTGCTATGTTGGAAATGAAAGTGGACGTTCAGGCAGATTAATCCTGTTCCCCTGTACAGGTCAAGATTTAATGTTCTGAATTTGAATTGTGATGGTCAGTTCTTCCCATACCATGTGCCAACAGAGACACATTTCATTTGGGGTTATTGCTTTCAAAAACAGTCACAACTGTTTTCCTTTTTGTAAATACAGGCTTTTAATCTCCTAGAAGCATTGCCCTGAGAGTATATTAGAAAGGGGTTCCAAGTGGATTAAACTACTTTTTCTAAAACCCTGAAAGCAAAAGGAAAGCAGCAATGTAGAGCCTGTTTACATGGGGGTCTTCTGGATTCCAGTGATCCTTACCTAGAGCCAGAGCAGAACATGTCCCACCCTTTGGTGGCCACGTGCCAGCAGCGCCAGTGAGATCAGCACAGCTCCAGTGGTGCCTCTCACAGTCAGTACAGCTGTTACAGAACAGGCACACCTGTAATAAACCATTTATTCCAAGGCATGTCAACCACACAAGCCACCTGTTCACCAATTCTGCTGCACCCAACAGTGCCACTGAATGAAACACAAGCAGAGTTTGTGACTCTTGTGTGCATCCACTCATATTTGATATTGCTGTATTATTTTTAAGCTGTTCATAGGGGTGAGATAAAGAAAAAGAAGTCAATAGATATGCAGTATTATTTTTACTGACCTGTCTCTTCTCTACCTCTTTAACAGAGTGGCCAGGTGTATTTCATTCATGATGGAGAAAAATCCAACCTTTTTGAATGGCTAACTCCCCTTGTACGTGCAATCCTGATCTCCAAGTACATTCATTTCTTTAACTGTATGCAGCTCCAGCTTTTGTGTGCATTCTACATTTTGTATGTTTGCTTTGGGTGGGAGAGTTCCACATGGAACTCTCTGAATGTGTGTTTAACTCCTGCTTGAATTTCAGTGTGATTAGCACTGTAAGAAAGCCCACCCAAAATACCATGTTAAAGCAAATGGCTTCCCTGAGACCAAAGGACCAACTACACCAGCAGCCTGTCCTGAGCTGTTACTGTCCTCATTTATGGGGCATGCAGATGGGAATAATGGGCATTTTGGGTGGGCAAAGAATGTAAATCTTAAGTATTCATCTGTTCATTCTTTTCAAAATACCGTGTTGTTGTTAATGATAGGCTCAAAACCATAAACATGTCATGATGTTAAATTAGGTATCAGCTCACAATGACATTTGGATTAAATATTGTAATTTCTTTCCTTCTTTTAAGATACAAAAATGACATAGTGTCTGTGGGTGGCATTTAACTAGCATCTCCTTAAAAATGAAAAATAGTAAATACTCAGAGCCATGATTAATTTTTCTGTTTTAACAGTAAATATTTCCATAAATATCTTCTATAGTGAAATGCTAAAACTTTTTTAAAGTTTCTGAGGGTTTTAATTGTTTTTTTTAAATCTTTTTCAGTTTGAAAGATTAGGTTGCAGTAAGCCATGGATAAGTATTCCTACTTCTTTAGTCTATGCATCAGGTAAAATATTTTATCAACATTTCTCTTTCCTGTTCAAGCTACTCTCATTCCTAACTGTAATATAATTTTATTTGCCCACAGTTTTCATTTTCATGTATTAAAAATAATATGCTGTGTGCTCACCCAGTGTTCAGCAGTGTAAAGCTCACCTCTGTGCAGTATGCTAAAACCAGAATGTCTCTTATTCAAGTCTCACTAAAACAGGTTTTATGTAGGACCTAACAGATGTATAACTTTGTGGAGTTAATGATACAAAAGTTAAATGTAAAACTCCATGACTTTATGAAATATTCTGAAGAGCATCTGCTTTGCTGCACAGGTGAATGTCTTGCTCTCTCCAGAATCAACCCCCCAGTGCAACTCAGACAGAATCCAACTGAGTTCTCTGTTGCCATATTTTTTATGAAGCCTCATGGTCTTTTCAGTACATCTGTGCCCAACTTTTTTTCCCTTTTCCAAATCCTTTTTCCACAAGCACAATAACTAAGATTAAACCCAGCCCCTTGTGAGCAAGTGGTTAGATGTTGTTAGCAGTGGTGCCTTGAGCTCTCAGGTCTGTGATTATCCTTAGTGAGCATTTAGTGTGACAGATGTCACAATCACAGTGACAAAGCAATTTACTGTCTACCTCAAGTCAAAATCTTTTGTTATGCAGCCACATTCATGGAACACCTTCATGCAATTCTGAGACCAGTTGTTGACCTGCCCCCACTGCTGACCAGAAATGAGGTAAAGCCTGTGTTTGTAAACTTTCCTTAATTCCCAGGGGATCCATACACGTTCATCTGAGGGAGACTTTCAGTCAGCAGAAAGTAAAATCCACCCAGAGCTACTTCAGCCTCCAGTTTCCAGGGCAAATACAGGCATTGTGTACAATTTAGGCAATATATTGTGCTTGGTTGCCATGATTTTTGAAAAGAGCTTATGCTTACAATCTGGGAGAGGCTTCTTCAGCTGCTCTCTTCCAAGGGTCAGTATCCTGTATGCCTTGGCTGGGCCTTTGGGAATCTATGAGATGACTTTGGTCTGACTCTTTGAGTACTTAAGCAAGAGAACACTTGCAGAGCATTTCTGGGGACATTTACAGATTCTACTTTGCATCTTTTAATGTCTCTTTGTGCTTTCAAGAATCTCCTTTTGAGTGGACAATTTTAAAAATAATGTGTGCAGTACTCATAGGACATTGATGTAATATTGTGGGGTTTGTTGTATTTTACATTTCCTTTAACTGTGTCTTTGCTACCATTTAGAGTTTGTTGCAGCTGCCTGTGTAGTCATACCTTTTTGTCTGTTGACTCTTTTCCCTGCAGGTACAGAACATTTCTGTCACTCACACATTTCGAATAGACAAGGCACGAGCTCAGCTGGGGTACCGCCCACAGAAGTTTGACTTTGCTGATTCTGTGGACCACTACATTGAATCCAGACCACGCTCACGTTATAAGCTTTTCCTCAAGGTTTTGTTTACTTTAATTGTTATTTCAATTTTGTTTTTTCTTTCTTCAAAACTTGGTGGCCTTTCAGTTTTGCATTTTTTTAAAGAAAGAAGACACTGACCTGCATGAGCTGCACGGTCACAGTATTGCTACCCAGATCATTCTAACTTCCACAATAGTTACTGGCACACTGCAACAGAGGCAGCTACTTTTGAATTTACAAACAATATCATAACAAACAAGTGGCTGGACCTGAGAAATTAAAATACAGTAAACAATAGTTGCCAAATCACTGAAACACAACCAGAGTCAAGATTGTTGCTTCTATTTCAAACCAAAACAACAACTTTCCAAATTGATTGCTGAAGTAAATGAGAACCTGCAGGAAAAACAGGAGCTGCAGACAGCCTGCAGTGCTTCACCAGTGAAGAAAAATGGCTGAAATTAAAAGAAAGACTGACCACAGCTTCTGTCAAGGCTCACAACCTTGGGGAACAGAGGAACAAGCAAAGGCACAGATAGAACAGATTACTGCAAGTAACACACACCAGGCTTACAGAGACTGCACATTGTGTGATTTCATGAATTAGCTCTAGCACCACATCTGAGGGAAAATAAAATTGTACTTGAAACATTGCTGAAGTTCGTGCTGCTTGGCTTCTGCACAATTTCCCAGACCTGCTCCCTGCCCTGCCCCTGGTGCAGAGCTGTGGATATGTGCTGGTAGGGCTTTTCACAGGTCAGAACTGGGTATTTTAGTTAAATTGGAAGCTACTAAGTAAGTTACATTAGTTAAGTGTATTTGTGACACAGTAGAGGAATCTGCTGCTATGGGTTGCACAGATCTTTGTACAGCTTCCTTCACCTCCTGGAGTTAAGGGCAACAACTAAACAGTTCAGTTGCTCCTCAGCCGAACTTAAGGCCCAAGTCTGTTTGGCAGCAAATTTCTGAAGTACAGCAGTTGTACTGAGCAAATCCCTGCAGCAGCTAAAGTGAACAATGTACTTTTCACCTTACTGTTCAGCTAAAATGGACCTAAAGCACAGTCCAGCTCCTTCCCATCCACCACTCACGGTGGGACTTTATCAGAGAAATCTCTTTCCCATGTCCATCTTTCCAACCTGTAACATGGAGAGAGAACTACCAAGAGCAAGATGTGAACTGTAGAGAGCTTGGGAAAGGACTAGCGATGAGAGCTTGAAAAATCATGGTCTGGAGGGGAGTAATCATGGATGGGTTTGAGAATTCCGGAGGGTGCAAACACTAGCACCTCCCACCAGGAGAATCCAGGGCAGGCAAAGCCCAGGACCCAGGCCTGTGGGTCGGGGTGCTGTAATGCAAAAGCAGCACTGAAAGGTAGAACCCCTGAAAATTCGTGTTTCTCATTTTATTCTTACACCAAGAGACACACACAGAGTGGAAAATCCCCTTTCTCTAGTTCATATCACAACTTTCTACAATATTGATTTTAACGACTGTGACTGACAGCCCGCAGCACTCACGGCCCGCCGTGCCCGGCCCGGGCAGTGCCGCCTTTCTGCTGTGCGGATGGCGAAAAGGAACCGCCGCGGCGGGGCCAAAACAACTTGGCAGCGGTGGGATTCGAACCCACGCCATCGAAATGACTGGAGCCTAAATCCAGCGCCTTAGACCACTCGGCCACGCTACCGCCTGGCTGCTCAGCGGCCCGCCAGGCCTCTTTGACGGGGGCAGTGCCGTCGTTCTTTCCCTTCATCTGTGGACACTACCCACCCGTGTCCGCGGCACCACACCGCCCGCAGCGCCTGCCCCGCCCCGTGAACGCCGCTGCTGCCGCCGGCCCCAGCCCCGCGCTCTCCGTGCCGGGCGAGCGGCCGCCGGCCCGGGCTCGCAGCGGGGCTACGGCTCCCTCTCCCGGGCTCCGCCGCACCTCGAGCCTCGGCCCCTTCCTCCCCAGGGCCATCGGGCTACGTCTCGGGGCACTTGTCCGCGGCAGGCCCAGGCCGGCACCTCGGCAAGGCGCTGCCGTGCGGTCTGTGCCCCACAGCAGCCGTGGCTGTGGTGGATCAGCTCCAGCTGGTGCTCGGGAGGGCTTTGCCCGTGCCGTGGTCCCGCAGGGTAGAGGCCAGCCCATGCCTTGGCAGCCACGATAGCAGCTGTGCACACACTCCCGGCCAGGCAGAGGGTCCGTCCTGCCCCGTATCAGGCACCCCCTGCCCTCCCTGCCCGCTGCAGTCGCCTCCGGCCCGGCAGAGCACACGTGCTGCCCAAGAGCTGCCAGCTCGCTGCGAGCCCAGTGACCTTCCCAGGCCGCTGCTCACTTGGCACGGCAGTGTGTCCTCAGCTGAACCATTCCCACCCAGCACAGGAGGCCCTGCTGCCCTTATCTCGCTGGCAGCTGGTGGTCGGGCTGCCCACACAGCTTGTTCTGCCACGTCGGTGCCTCCTTACCTGCGGCTGGGCTCCCGACGCTGTGGGCAGGTGCTTTCCCTGTTGACCTCAATGAGAGAGCTGGCTTTGGCAACCAGAGCCACATTCGGTCACTGGTGAGTAGAAAGATGACTTCTCATGTTCTGGGAGGCCTGCAGGAGAAATGTATGTAATTATTTTGTGGACAGAGCTAAAAATATCAAGACTAAATGCAATGCAATTAAAACAACATGGAGAAATTAGGTCCACCATTGCCCTTCTTCCCATATAAAGTCATGCATTGGTGCTCCAGGAAGTTTTAGGTGTGTGTTACATGCACCTCCCATATGACTGAAATGAGGTTTATGACCAACTTGATTCACCTTGTAAGACCAGATTGTCGTAAGACTATGAGGGCAAAAATTGTCAGGAAATTGATTTAAAGGCAATTTTTAAATCTGCAGATTTAAACAAATGCAGAATAAAATTGCTCTGCAAGTTAATATCATATGGGGTGTCCTTTCCTTTTTCCTTTCAAAAATCACAGTTCCCTAGAACAATGATTTCTAAAGGAAACCTTATTTAAAATGAGCATACTGAAACTTTACAAGCTATAGTGCTCTTGGAAAAAAAATTCATGCAGTGCTGAACATACTTAGTGGAAGAATAACATACTAGACTTGCAGGTCACTGATTCCCTAGGTTGCCATTTCTAATTTAATTTTTCATCGTTTCAAACAACAAAAAAGTGAATCAAACTCTTTAAGTGTAAAGGATAAAACACATAATATATAAATAGAAAACTAAAACTAGAATATACAGCATGTCTGGGCCAATGCCTGATTTCAACACGTCTTTAGTTTTTCATCATCACTAATTGTTCTTTTAAAAAAATGTTAGAGAGAATAGAAGCCCCAGGCTTAAACTTGGGAATAAGTACACCCTTGCACCAGGGTAGCAGAGCTGGCTTATTTAAAAGCATGAGAAATGTGTAGCTTGACAAGGCATAACCTATGTTCCTGATGGAGCAGAACGTTCTCCATGAGGATTTATGGCAGAAGGCAGCCATGGGGTTCCTTTCAGTCCAAAATAATGCAAAGTATTTTGTGTCCAGAGAAGGGAACAGAGCTGGTGAAGGGTCTAGAGGGTAAATCCTACGGGGAGCTGGGGGTGGTCAGGCTCAAGAAAAGGAGCCTCTCTGCCCTCCCTGCAAGGAGGTTGTGGCAACATGGGGACCAGTTGCTCCTCCCAAGTAACAAGACAAAAGGAAATGGCTCCAGCTGCATTGGGGAAGTGGGTTCAGCTTGGATATTAGGAAAAATTTCCCCAATGAAAGAGTGGGTTAAGCATTGGAACAGGCTGCCTCGGGAAGTGGTGGGGTCCCCATCCCTGGAAGTGTTCAAAAAACAAATAGACGTGGCACTTTGTGACAGGGTCTAGTGGATGTGGTGGGATTCAGTAAAAGCTTGGTCCTGACCTTGGAGGTCTTTTGCAACCTTAATGATTCCATGATTTGCCTGAGTTTAAAACGAGCTACTCTCATGACGTGTTCAGCTGTGCTCATGTGTCACACCAGTTACAGTATTCCACCTTTATCAGCAGCCTACCATGGCAGGTGGTGACTTTTAACCATTATCAACACAATTTCACACAGTGGGAACCAGACATCTGGCTTCTTCCAGGCTTTCAGAATTCATTTCATGGGTTTGTGTTCTTCCCAGGCCTGCCATGAAACATCCCAACATCAGCCCTGCGGGGTGCTGCTCTCCTCAGGGTGCTCAGCTGGGCTGACAGCACAGTGAAAAATGAAGAAATGCAGCTTCTGGTGCTCATGGGGCAAAAGTGCTCAGTTTTTGATAACTGCTAATATTTACCACAGTGATTTGCATCTGGGAGATGAATAGGACCTCATGAGTTTTTCTGCACAATCACTGATGTTGCAAATGTGTTTCAGTTTAAACTCTGCACGAATTTGAGCAAAAATGTGCCCTTAGGAAGCAGCATTAAACAGGGGCTCAGTCAAGTGTCTGCTTGACATTCTCAAACCAGGGCTTGCAGCCTCAGCATGGTGCTGGAAATTGGTGACAAAATTACAGGTACCATCAAACTGGAGGTGGTGTTTCCAGCACAAGTGTGCTGCTCCCTCCAGTCCCCATGCTGAGACACAGCTTAATTTATGTAAGTAATGGCGGGATTTCCTGGCAGAGAGTCAGAGCATCTGCTCTGTGTGGTTTTAATTAAATATTGGTAATCTTCCTCCTGAAGATTATCTCAGCAGCAGTGTTTTTCTGCTTTCTTTGGTGAGTACAGGGATTGTGCATTTTTCTGTCTGTGGTGCTGCAAGAGACCATCCATGTGTCACAAAGGACATACTCACATCTTCCAGTCTCGGTTCTGTAACCCCTACTCATGGTAAAAACCTCTAATGAGGATTATTGACATGAATAAAGGATTGAACAGCAGTAAAAAAGGCAGACTCTTTGCAGGCTGCCAAGTAATACAATTAATCCAGAACCTATTTACATTAATTTCCATGTAACTCATTAAAGGATAAGGAGTTTTGTTTAAATTTTCCACAAATTCTAGCTTGAGGAAAAGCTTAAACATGGGCATTTTCAACTCAGAAAGACAGTGTTTTGGGACAAATTGAAATGTGGGTGCTTTGAGGAAACATGGTCTTTAGCACGTGAAAAATGGTACATAATACTGCCATTTCTTATGGGGAAATGTGCAAAAGCGCAATTTAATTTAGCTCTAAAACCAACCTGAGGCACAGGCGGGCCCCGTAGTCGCTCCCTGTGCCTTCCCTCAGGGCTGGGATCTTCGTGGGTGCTTCCCATGGGATCACCTCCCAGGACACCCCCTCCTTTCAGCTCCGTGCCCAACAGGAAGAGAAATGAAAGCGAATTTGGGTGGCTCTCCCGTAAGCAGAACAGGAACAGAAATGAAAGCAAATTTGGGTGGCTGTCCTGTGAGCAGCGGACACCTGTGAGATCTGCACACCCGCTCTCCTTCCTGTCCGCACTGCGCCCGGCATTCCCCATCGCTAATACCTCACGGTGTTAG